CTCCTGTGAGTGATGTCATACTGAGGTGTTTATTACCAGGGCTCTATAATAATAATGATATTTTTGGTCTTTTTATTTTTTTTCATAATGCCAAATACAGAAGTTGTTTTATTTTAATAGTATTGATTTCATTAATCAACCAATTGAACAAAACAAAAATACATGGAAATATCGTGAATTTGCAGGAGAAACGATATTTCTGAAAGATTCATACTTGCTCGCCGAAGTGCGGGAGGCCGTATGCTTTCCGGGAGTCTTCCACGACTTGTGAGAGACTTAAGACCCCTGCTTCTGTGTAACAGAGGTATTAGTGTGTTGTCGCTGATGCAGTTTTTATCAAATCCTCCAGATTGGTCGTTTGAGTTTCAATTAGGTGCACACCATCCATTTTAGTTCGTGACAGCTGCTTCATCTTCCAGACCTTCTTTGTTAAGTCTCCTTCATGCTGCCATTGATGTCCCTTTTCTATAATATATAGACCAGCTGTGCATGGTCTCTGATGCAGTTTTACCAAATTCCCCAGATTAGTCGTCCCAGTTTCCATTATGTGCACACATCTTCCAGATGCGAAGTGTAAACCGTTGGTTCTCTTTTTTTCATCATTCTTCAAATTTTGCATTGTTTTCATCCATTGTAGTTCTTGACAGCTGCTACATCTTCCATATCTTCTTTTTTTAAGTCTTATACCTGCTGCCATTGATGTCCCTTCTGTATAACATAGAGACCATCTGTGCATTGTCACTGACAGCAGTTTTACCAAATCTTCCAGATTAGTCGTTTTAGTGTTCATTAGGCACACAACATCTTTCAGATGTGAGGTGGTTTAAGCTGTTCGTTCGCTGTACATATGGTCCAAGTGCGCCATAAAAAATGTGGTACACTTTTGGAAAAAATTAGGGTATGTATTCCAGTGTACTGCCAAGTTCAAAACCAGAAGAACCTCCTTAATTAAAAATGAGTCTTCAGACTTTTGTGCGTTAACCTTGACATTTTTCAAACCAAAAAATTAAATCCACTACACCCCAATAGTCATTACTGAAGATTCTGGAAGCTCCCTGGGAGTTTGATGAGGTCTTACTGGTACTTGGTTGTGCTATCATCCTTCCTTAAATACCGCCCTCTAGAGTCTTCAAACTTTGCTTATTGACAAAGAGTATAAAACTGCAAGAGGTCTGACTACCCTTATTTTGTATACAGGCAATGCAACATTAAAAAGTACGAAAGGGCGTGTCCTTCATAAGAACGTAAAAGGCGTTCGTATCGAACGCGTGCTGCGTTTTGAATTCCTGCATACATTCTATAGACACAGCACGCGTTCGATATGAACGCACTTTACGTTCTTTTAAAGGCCACGCCCCTTTTGGGTAGTACTTTTTAAAAATAGGATTGCGTTTCAAAGAATCCCAGGCAGTTGGACCTCTTGCAGTTTTATACCTTTGTTATTGAGAAGCTGCATGTTGAGTATATCTGTTTCATTACACTAAAACAAATAATGGCAACGATTATGGAAAGAATAAACGTAACCATTATGGTGATGAGGATGACGGTGATGAAGATGGTGTTGGTAATGGTGATGATGGTAAGGGTGATGATGATGAGGCCAGGGTGATGATGGCGTAATGATGAAAATGATGAGACTGATGGTGAGGATGAGGGTAATGGTAACAGTAAGGATATTTTGTTGGCATAATTACGATAATGCAATTTTTAATAATATAATATAATATATAGAAATAATTATTTAATGTAGGTTGCAATTATGGCAATGTTATTAATCATGGGAGCAGTAATAATGTAAAACATCATGTAAAGTATAAATTAAAAATTCTTTTTTAAATGTTTCTTAGTATGTAAATTTCAAACCAAATAATTATCTATTTATGTTTTATGTTTTACTGTAGTATTATTATTATAGAATTTATTTTGTTGAATTTTGTTTTCTATGGAATCAGAACAGAAATACTAGACTAATATTGTTTATGCATCATGCTTTCCACTTCTTGAAAGTATTAATTATTCATCACTTGAGTGTTTGTTGTCACTGTAAATTAAATGACTTTTATCTGAAAGAAATTTGGTGATAATTTTGATCAATGTTTATGATGATGATGACAAATCTATGATGATGATGATGGTGATAACTGTATGGCAGCAGACATTGAATTGCATTGGCATCGTATGCTAACAAAAATCAAGATGTTCAATATCTACTTAGGATAATAAATGTTGATGGTAATGTAAAAAACGATAATGATTATGGATTAAGATGATGCGATGATGATGATGATAATGATAATGACATGTACAGCATCTTTGATGTATACTCCGTTTCATTGACATTGGCACTTTTACAAATGTTTGATTTATTGTAATGAAAATGACAATGATGACAATGATAATACATTGCTAATGTTGTGATTTTGTTATACTGTACTTTATTTTATTAATCAATGCCATTGTATTCTAAACGTGTATGTATTTTAGTTGCAACATTTGATTCCTTGTATATCAATATTTTAGTATAAATAGGCAACACTTTTTTTATACCTTGTTTAGTGAACCCGCCGTCTGCCAATAATGATTTCGAATAAAATTAAAATTTTATTTTTTGCCAATTACCACACTCACTGCCACGAAAAATGGAAATTTTAGACAATTTAAAAAAAAAAATTTTTATTACACCTACAGTTGCCTTGAAATCAAAGAAAATAAGATATGTATATTTCTTCGTAATTATGTATATTTAAAGCATTAAACCATCGCATTACTACATTGTTTATATTTAACATTAAAATTTTATTTTCATTATTTCCTCTGTCTGGATGTTTGTGGGCAAAAAAAAATTATTTTTATTATTATATTTAACAAGGAATAAAAAATCCTGTGCTGTATTCAGTAGTGGTTTTGGCTAGAACTGTATGTTGATTTCAAATTATTTTATAGTTTAGTACATGTAGTATAATACTGTACAGTGGCGTATCTAAGATTTTTGAAATGAGGGTGCTAATGGGGGTAGGAAGTGGTGGCACGCAGAGGTCAAGTAGGGAGGCTCGGTTAAGTGAGGGCTAGCTTTTTAGGATGGGGGTGGTGTGCGCGCCCCAGGCACTCTTAGATATGTTACTTTTACAGTAGTTTATTAATCAAACACTAAAGTGGCCACCAAATATTAGGAATAAAAATTAAACTTTGATTTGACTTGGCAGCTGTGTAGGCTGTACTGATGAGATACAAGGCTTAAATATGTTTTGTTTTGTTTAAAGAAATGTCTGAATATCTTAACAACTTACAGTTGGTTAATGTTTTTATTGTGCTTATTTTATGTTAACATAAGGAGGTAATTATGCAGTATTGAAGCAAATTTCTTTGAAAATTCTCGTATAATTATTTATCGTACGATGGGGAGCCATTAATAATCATATTGTTATATAATCCTGGGTATATATTGACTACTTATTTTTGTTAATAAAACAAATTCTTGAAAATACTTTAAAATGAGGATGTTTATTATGTGTGTGTTTTGCAAGAAAACAATGCTATCAACTATATTCTTATAAATACTCTATAGACAAAATATAGCACAAGTTTAGTGTATAATTTTTTGGATTATTACCAATATATTTTAATACATATACTGTATATATATAGGTGTTCCTACTGTTAAATTATGTATAAATCACTGTATTTACCTTTCTTTGATAAGGGGGCGGGGGCGAGTAATTACGCCACTGCATCTATCAACATACCTCCTTCTGCCCCCCTCCATTTAAAATTCCTGGATCCGCCCATGTTTGTAAGCGTGTTAACCAATTGAACCATTGAAGCGTTCGTTCGAAGTTCAAATTTGATTGAAGGCTCTAACATAATCATAATGACAGTGCATTAGGGATGGAATTGTGACCATTTTGAGCTACAAATATAATCTGTTTAATGAAAAGAACTCGTGTTAAAGTTCCTAGAAGCCCGTTTAACAAACTTACGGGTTGGGTTTTCAAAACATTTTTTATAGACGAATATAACGTAATATCTGAATAAATAACGTTCCTAATTTTGCTGCAACGTTGTTTTAATGTTAGTTTATAGGCCTACACAGTGGGTTTTGTATCTTGTTTCACCTAAATAAATAATGCCAATGACGAGGCACTACAGTACTTCAAATTCAGATATCACTGAACCGAGTGTACTTGCGTCACACGTCTCTGATAACTTATCAAATTCAACCCAGAAAATTAATACTGCCAAGCATTTAGCAGATAAGGGGACCTATAAATGGTAATTGACTGATTTGACAATTTAGAATTTATCTACTGAAAAAACATTAAAAAAAAGCGTTCGAAACTGTCCTTGGAGATACCTAAATCTCCATGGTTGTTATCAAATGTATCGTAAACGTGATATCAGTGAACAATGTTTTCAAAATCTAAGAGATAATATACCAACGTCACATGTGTCTCATTAAAACGTATGAGATTATATCAATCAGAGTTAAGTCACAATGGGTCATTGTAGAGGCGTTTATAAATGTTATATATAATGTCTGACTAGTTCCGAAAGCGACATTTGATTTGGTTTAAATATTTCTGATTATTATTATACTGATCTGGAAACTGACTGATGAAACAGTTAATAAAAAAAAGATAAATACTTAGTTGAAGATTCACTGGAATAGCCTCTAATATTCAAACCAAAATTGTGGACACTATACGAATATATACAAAATATGGTAGAGGCCTATTATTTGTCAAGCACGAAATCCAGTAAATGAACAAACAAGGTAAGCAAATTTATTTTAATTTGATTCATAATGGGTTTTTTTTACCTCCCGTAGCTCGTCCTCCGGGACTGGTAATAACGAAATAATGCCTAAAGTAACAGGTGAGACGTATATAGCAGCTCCGTCATAGGCATAGGCCCAAAGAATATTTATTTCCTAAAGATTTTCTCCTAAAGATTTTCTCCTAAAGATTTTCTCCAACGAAATACTTAACATTCCTCGACAATTAACGTGTACTTCCTCGACGAGAATAAGCAAGAGAGTCTATACCATCTCTTAATTATATATATCTGTATCCTTTTAGGTGGAGCCTGTAGAATTTATTTGAAAGATCCAAAGCCTACCAAATCCAAAAAAGCAGCACAATGGCTTCACTCAAATCTGACGATATTGATTGTGAAGATACACAGACGTATCCTAACATTATTAAACAGCTAAAGCTACAAGAGTATTACCCTAAAAAACTAACTCGTGAAAAGGCGCTTGCAGTTTCAAATATCGACATTTCAACAGACGACCTCAAGGATCCTGGCAAGATTCCTTGGTTTATTCTGCAAAATATGATCATGTGTAATTATGAAGGAATGCGTTTTGAAGTCAACGAGCATAAGCCATTATTGTCCGGAACAGGAGACTCTCTTCCACTTCTAGAAAGCCATTCAGATAGAGAAAACGACTGCGATCACACAGAGCATGTAAGTCCTCTAGACTCGCTGGTTGCACTTTTTTGGTGCTGCGACGATTTCTTGAGACAAATTTTAGTTGAAAGATTGTTACTGTGTCAGCTCGCTATTCCACTTCTGTTACCAATCGACAGTCCCTATGGAAGTGAAATGCTTATGTGGGCGTTGAGTACGCTAAGAAAGCAATGGAAGACACGTTCTGGATCATCATGTGAGCAATCAATGGTGTTCCATAAGTCATCGATCGTGTCTGCCATTCGCTTCGGCAGACCTCGGATATCAAAATCAAAAATACTCAACAAGGTTATTAGTGATCTGAAACATGATATTTTTTTTCACTCCGATTGCAATGGCGGTGCTAATAGGAAAATCGCCGATGGGTTATTGGAAATGGCCTATTACCTTCCAAATGGAAAACGCAAGGACATGTTATCCGAGGCGGTCACATTTATGAATTTGAGAGGAAATGCATCTTACCTTAAAGGTCAAATACGATTTATATCTGAAATATCATTTGCAACTATTGTATTTATGTCTTCTGAAAGTCTAAAGGAAGAAGATAAGGCCTTACTTAAACCATTGTACGAACAGGACGGTCACTTAATAATTGTATTAGATGAACATTCAAAAGGGAAATTGAAAGATTCATTTTGTGCGTTGGAGAAAAGTTGTCTTAAGGTTTCAGATAAGCAAGTAAAATACATCTATTCTTCAACCAAAAAGGAATTACTAATAAGTAAGAAAATTAAAGAATGTCTTAAAAGTATCTACAAAGGAAGTAGGCGTTATGTTGTCCCTGATAGAAGCATTAAAATGTGCGTCGACGTTGCAAAAACAATGTGTTTTGAAGTCGACGATGACAACACACAGGATTATTTAATAACAAGAAAAACTACAGAAATGATGATCGATAGCTTAAAACAGCATGGAAAAGAAAAGCAACTACCTTTGCAAATGATTGCAAAAGAAAATGGAGAGAGACAGAAAACACAGTATTATTTGGAACGGGACGAACACAATGCAGCAACAAAGGATTCTGAGAATGTCTTGGATACCAGTATATCATTTTTGCGAATGAAGCAAAAAATTGTCTGCGAAGAAGATCTAGGTATACTTAAGCTATTCAGCCGGTCATATACGTTTACAGCTCCAGCGAGGAAATATTGCCAGAGCTACCTTAAGATTTTAACATACAATAATAACATTGACGAAATGCAATCGGTACGCCAGGAATACATTAACAAATTGGATAAGTTACATAGACATTTGCAAAAACATCAAAAAAGTAGAACAAAATTAGAAAAGATAAAAGCGAGAAAAGCTGAAATTGAATGTCTCGAGAGTGAGCTCTCTAATTTGTCATTAGGCTTAGAGCATTTCAACAGAGAGCTAGGACAAATGTACGAAATGAAATCAGATTTGAATCTTCTAGATTATTCAACCCGTCAACTTCCAGTCGCTGCAGCTGAATTATTTCTTGATGGATATCCTCTAGAATTAATGAACGGTGACGCGATTTATGTTCCACTCACTTGGATTGAGGCTATTCTGAGACAAAAAATAATCGATGATAATCGAATTTTCGTGCTGTCAGTGCTAGGTGTTCAAAATAGCGGAAAGTCAACTATGCTTAATACCATGTTTGGTTTACAGCTTCCTGTCAATGCCGGCAGATGTACTAAAGGCATATTTGCGCAATTAGTTCCAGTGGATACAAACTTACAAAAGAGTACTGGATGTGACTATATAATGGTTGTTGATACAGAGGGTTTACGTGCTCCGGAATTAGCAGGCCTTGAACATAGTGACTACTTCAACAAACTTGCTACTCTTGCCATTGGCTTAAGTGATGCTACAATCTTTAATATCAGGAGAGAACTTGTAATTGAAATAAAAGAAACCCTTGAAAACACTGTTCTTGCATTCATGAAAATTGAAAGTGTAAAAATCAAACCTAGAGTTATATTTGTACATCAGAATATTAAAAATGTTGGAAGGGCCAATATGAATACGGATCAAAAAATATCAGTAAAGAATATGTTGGATGAGATCACAAAACGTGCGGCAGATAAAGAGAACTGCGGCGACAAATATGAAACGTTTTCTGACGTCATTGAATTCAATGAAAATAAAGACGTGATGTATGTTTCTAGGTTCCAGAAAGCAGATTCATCAATGGCGCCTGTTGATCCTGGTTATAGTCGAAGTATATATCAAGTCAAGAAACAGTTAATACAGTGCTTGCAAAATTCTCAAGCTAAATCAGTTAAAGACTTTATGCGTAAACTGTCAGATCTCTCAAAAGCAATTCCGTGACGGCCTGTATCCTCCGATCGTCGGACGGTTGACTCTGTCATCGACGAAACGAGACCGATTCGACCGATCCGACGGGTGTCTTGTCGAAGGACCGAGACTGTCTCTTATACACATCTAGATGTGTATAAGAGAACATATATATATATATCACTGAATCATATATAATATATATAGTGAAAGTGAGATGGATATTGCTTGTTTTATTTGTTTTACATATTTGATTGGATTTTTAAAAATATACACTTTATTCAGATTCTTCATTATTTTTGGTTGGTCGTTTCTATTACCTACTAGCTCAATTTCAGTATATTTAGATACAGAGGGATGAACTAGGGACGACATCAAATTTGAAATCAATAGTTATGTTCACAAAATAAAATCATTTGAAACGAAACCTAACAAATAAAATAGTGAAATGATCACAGAAATTGATCCAAACAGTGTCCTACGTACCGGTACATATTTGATGACGACAATGATTGTTCGTAGGACGTCTATCTAATACTTTTATCCACTTTTTCGTTTGTTCAAGAAAACTTCACGTTCTTTATGGACGTAAGGAACGTTTAAATACATTACGCATGTGCGCTTGCAAATTTTCCAAAATGGGTGGAGCTATGAAAATGCATGTTTGGTAATAACCTTTAAGTCAACGTTTACGAAGTCCGCAAAAAGTCCTTCTTGTATCACTGTAAGTTTACGTTGACTTATAATTTATTTTTCTTTCCATTTCGCAGAAAGAAACATGTTTACCGCTTGATATTTTGCCTGACTGAACTGCTTCTTTATCATTGTTTAAAATGTTGAATTTGCTTGCTAACTTTCTATTGTTTTTTTATTCTTTATGTTTGACTGAACGTGTTGTTTATGTTTCATAATATTTGTGTATCTATGTAATAGACACCCTTTTATTGATTTTCCTTTTCTTTTCGCATGATTTGCTCACCATTCGTTGTCTATATTATCCATTATCAATCCGTTTATAGATTTTCAATTCATGACAGTGGCCAAGAATGTGCTGTTTATTTTTCATTTTCATTTGTTTGATGTCAGTTTATTGAATTTCTTTTCCATTTCGCATGACTGCGCGTACTGTTTTATTTTCATTGTTATGTATAAATATGTTAGATAACAATTTATTGATATTCTTTTTAATTTTGCACGACTGTATTTGTTGAAATTGTTCATATCAATACAATAGATATCCTTTAGTGGATTTTCTTTTCTATTTCTATGTTATTGATTATTCTTATGTTATGGTGCCACATCCAATTTTACGATAAATGTCAAAAAATAGCAGGAAGAATCAATTAATTTGTTTTGCTCTTGTAATGGGGATAGAATGCCTTTTGATGAAAGAGGACGTTTTTAGAGATACTTACAAAGGCTCGATTAAATCAAGTTCAAGAAATTACAAAACAGCCTGCTGTAACCTGGTTAATAAATAACAAAACAATTTTCTCCTTAGTTTTTTTTTTATTTTGAATCTTGTGTCACCGTGGAACATTGTAATTTAGAGATATGATAGTTTCTAGAACCAACTGTGTACACTTCGCTGCTATCCATGTCTGCCGGAGGTCGGAAAAGTATATAAATAACATTCTAAAAACTGCATCATACTACCAAATTTAAGGAGGACCGAGATGTAACATTGTCAATATGTCAAAACCTGAAGTAAATCGGTTGTGTAGTTTTGGAGTTATGCGCTCGGAAGGACACACAACCATATACCATAGAGAAAACAGAACAGATCTCTATGCATATACACAGACGCGCTTTATAATGATCTCATGTAGTGCGTTTAGTGCAATGCTTTTGAAGCAACTGAAAGCTTGTTTTTTTTTTAATTTTTAATTTTTCTTTTCATTTGGCCGGACCATTCTCAATTCTATTAATTTTTAAAATAATACTGACATTTATAAATTAAATTGAATTTATTATGAATATTCGCAACTTATTGACTTTTTAATATTATAAAATTAAACAAAATAAACAATGTGCTTGTTTTTTTTACCACCTAGGCCTCTGTAAATTTCATCTTTTTAAAAAGTCCTTAATTTTTAGTAATAAAGAAAAAAGATTGATTTTCCAAATGCTTAGAGGTATAAATATAAAATGACAATCAGCTATTTAGAAAATGTTGGGGGTTAAAGTTGGCCAAATTGTCATCAAAACACAAAAGTATACGAGTCAAGCCGACCCTGATTTACTTGCAATAAAATTTAAAAAAAATTAAGGATACTCATTTTTTTAAAAGTATGCATGTGCTTTCCTCTGGCAGTGGAGTTATTTTTTCAACTATGGTGGAGCTGAGGTGGAGGTTATGGTATCTAGTCCACTTCCACTAACTTTTAATCCTGCATCTCAGTGTCGTATCTAAAAGTCTTGAATAGGGGGAGGGGGTGCTGATGGGGGAGGGGCGCGAAGGAGAAGTGATGGGGCTCGATGATCAGTTGAGGGGCGCTAATTCGCAAAATATGGTGATTTTAGATGATTTTTAACTACTTGACCGTGATATTTTTTGGTGGGGTGGGCGAGAGTAATTTTTTGAGGGCGTACACCCCCACGTCCTCCCTAGATAAGACACGCATCTGTCCCTGCATGAGGTTGGAATATGGGGAGCTGCTTTGCAGGTTGCCAACTGTTATTTTTGAGTAGCATATTTTCAATATTTGTAGGTATGAATTTATATCGAATCTAACTTTACCCCTTGAGGGGAGGGGTATTGGTTCTACAGTATTGCCAGTTGCGATTTCCGTGCACCTCAAAATTATACTTTTAGACCACAATATTATGGAATAATCACAATAACTTTAATTGGGTTTGAAAATTAATTTAGTCCGACGATGGTGGGGGATGTCCAGGTTTGTAAAGGATACCCAAAAAAAATCAATTCCAGTGCGATACAACGCAACAATAACATATTAAATCTAAACATGATATAGGTTACACACTACCAGGACCACTGACTTTTTGCCCGGGCATTCTAGTACTTGGAAGTCAATCGGAGGACCACTTTGCTCTCTGGAAGTATTACTATTCTATTATCATGGAGGTATAATTCCTCCATGTTATTATAAAACTAAATATATAAACCCAAATTAGTCTCTACCAATTCAAAACTGCTGATTGTCCAGGGGATTTTGTCCTTGAAACCTGTCCGGGGGCGTTTCTTTTCCCTTGATTCCAGATTGGACTAACTTCATTTTAGCCTGCATTAGAGTCTCCATCATTCTGTCACCACCTCATTACTATCATCAACATCATTGTCGACGTCATCATCATTATTATCATCATCGTCATTATTTCTGGGCATCAAGGTAAACAACATTTAAGCGATACGAACTCTGGACCAGCGGTGGCACCAGAAATTGGCCGACAAGGGGTCCCGCAAGTCCGACAGAGTGGTTAGAGCCAAGGGGCAGACGAAGCCTCGGTCGGCGGCCCAAAATTTATGGCAGATAGACCATGTAAGTATAATTCCATAGACAGATCTACCCCTGTCTCTTATACACATCTAGATGTGTATAAGAGACAGATATAATGGTCCAAATGTGCTTTTAGACCTCATCATTAGGGATTGGCAGACAATATAACGTTATTTGGATGGGAAAATTTATTTTTGTTTAAAGTTTTGATTAGACGATTTAGTCGTGCGTCGGACGACAGGCAAATTACCCACTGCCCCCACCTCTACTCTTGCCCCTGCAATACCAACCGCATTCAACAACATGATGCCTCTCTTCCCTCTTTCACATAAAAAAAGGGATCGCCCTTGTATGTTTATATAAGGTAAGCCTATGTCTTTATCACCTGGGTAGATCTGTCTATGGAATTATACTTACATGGTCTATCTGCCATAAATATACCAAGGATTGACTAAATTTAATGTGTAATGAGTTTGACCTACCAGAACCAAACACAACACTTAATTAAATTTGTAAATTTTGCTTATTTGATTTCATTCGCATCCGACAGGTAGCAACTCTCCAATTACAGGATGGACAATGATTTATAAAAAAGATATTTTACCTGAAGACGATTGAAGCAGCTCAATCGAAAGGTGGAGACATTCTCAACGAACAACAGTTCTTTTCAGAACTAGCTACCGTGGTGTACCGCAAGCATTAATATATTATTACTTCGCCATACAAACCTTTAAACAAAATAATCTCTCATGAAGCTTAGCGGATGGAGTTGCTTTTAGTCATGAGAAAAGTCCTGCTGTCACAGGAACTGATCCCAAGACCCTGGGGGTTTGAAGACAAGCATCTTACCACTAACTCTACTCGCATAATAATCATTATCTGAGTACTATGATTTTAGTGCTCTTAGTGTAATATGCTATTTAAAAAGTATAAACAGTAAAATAATTGATTTACTTAAAAAAAAAAAAAAGAGGTCGGCCAGTTGTAGAGACTTAAATCGTTTACAAAATAACTATAACGTAGTTAACATCATCATCAAAATCAATAGGCCTATGTCGTTCATTATTTTCAATTACGCTACAATAATTTTAGTTTTCAAATTCGCGGAAAGAGAGTATGTTTACCGCTTTGTTAGAGACATTATTTTGCCTGTTTGGACTTATTCAATATCACTATCGATGCCATCATATTTGTTTGCTGGCTTTTGTATTGACTCCAATTTCTTCTGCATGAAATATTTTCCCTAATTCCGTTTCGCATGACTGATGTGTTGATTTTCTAAATTATTGTGGGCCAAGACCAATATGTTGTATATACTTGTATTGATTACCCCTTCCATTTAGCAACTGTACTTCTTCTATATTATTGTATGTCAATGCTAGATATTCGTTTATTGATTCTCCTTTCCATTTCGCATGACTGTATATGTTGATCAATCATTTTTTCATATTATGGTTTATACTTCCAGAGAGTGTTCAGATATTTTGGTTTGGGTAAGGGTCCAGAACAGAATGATTCAAATTCTATTTGTTCCCTGCAAAAGTATTTAAATGTCTTTTGAATAACACTAAT